AGTGGGCTTATGGAAAGAAGTGGGTGTGTGGAAAGGAAAGTAGTGGGCTTGTGGAAAGTAGTGGGCGTGTGGAAAGGAAAGTAGTGGGCTTGTGGAAAGGAGTGGGTGTGTTGAAAGGAAAGTGTGGGGTGTGTAAAGGAAAGTAGTGGGCGTGTGTAAAGGGGTGGGTGTGTCGAAAGGAAAGTTGTGGGCTTGTGTAAAGGAAAGTAGTGGGCGTGTGGAAAGGGGTGGGTGTGTCGAAAGGAAAGTAGTGGGCTTGTGGAAAGTAGTGGGCTTGTGGAAAGTAGTGGGCGTGTGGAAAGGAGTGGGTGTGTCAAAAGGAAAGTAGTGGGCTTGTGGAAAGAAGTGGGTGTGTCGAAAGGAAAGTAGTGGGCTTGTGGAAAGTAGTGGGTGTGTCGAAAGGAAAGTAGTGGGCTTGTGGAAAGGAAAGTAGTGGGCTTGTGGAAAGTAGTGGGCGTTTTGGAAAGGAAAATAGTGGGCTTGTGGAAAGGAGTGGGTGTTGTCAAAAGGATATTATTGGGCTTAATGAAATGGGTGGCGTGGGAAGGAAAGTATGGCTTGTGGAAAGGGGTGGGCGTGTGGAAAGGAGTGGGTGTGGCAAAAGGAAAGTATGGGCTTGGAAAGGGGTGGGCGTGGTGGAAAGGAAAGTAGTTGGGCTTTGTGTAAAGTAGTGGTGTGTGAAAGAGTGGCCGTGGAGAGGAAAGTAGTGGCTTGTGGCAAGGAGTGGGTGTGGTTCGAAAGGAAAGTTGTGGGCTGTGGTAAAGGAAAGTATTGGCGTGTGTAAAGGGGGTGGGTTTTCGAAAGGAAGTTTGGGCTTTGGTTTAAGGAAAGTAGTGGCGTGGTGGAAGTGTGGGTGGTGTCCGAAAGTAAAAGTAGTGGGCTTGTGGAAAGTAGTGGGCTTGTGGAAAGTAGGTGGGCGTGTGGAAAGGAGTGGGTGTGTCAAAAGGAAAGTAGTGGGCTTGTGGAAAGAAGTGGGTGTGTCGAAAGGAAAGTAGTGGGCTTGTGGAAAGTAGTGGGTGTGTCGAAAGGAAAGTAGTGGGCTTGTGGAAAGGAAAGTAGTGGGCTTGTGGAAAGTAGTGGGCGTGTGGAAAGGAAAGTAGTGGGCTTGTGGAAAAGGAGTGGGTGTGGTCAAAAGGATAGTAGTGGCTTATTGGAAAGGGGGTGGGCGTGTGGGAAGGAAAGTAGTGGGCTTGTGGAAAGGGGTGGGCGTGTGGAAAGGAGTGGGTGTGTCAAAAGGAAAGTAGTGGGCTTGTGGAAAGGGGGTGGGCGTGTGGGAAAGGAAAGTAGTGGGCTTGTGGAAAGTAGTTGGGTGTGTGGAAAGTAGTGGGTGTGTGGAAAGGAGTGGGGTGTGTCGAAAGTGAAAGTAGTGGTCTTGTGGAAAGTAGTGGGTGTGTGGAAAGGAGTGGGGTGTGTTGAAAGGAAAGTAGTGGGCTTGTGGAAAGGAGTGGGTTGTCAAAAGGAAAGTAGTGGGCTTGTGGAAAGGGGTGGGCGTGTGGAAAGGAAAGTAGTGCGCTTGTGGAAAGGGGTGGGCGTGTGGGAAAGGAGTGGGTGTGTCGAAAGGAAAGTAGTGGGCTTGTGGAAAGGAGTGGGTGTGTGTTGAAAGGAAAGTAGTGGGCGTGTGGAAAGAAGTGTGTGTGTGGAAAGGAAAGTAGTGGGCTTGTGGGAAGTAGTGGGCGTGTGGAAAGGAGTGGGTATGTCGAAAGGAAAGTTGTGGGCTTGTGGAATTTTGTGGGCGTGTGGAAAGGAGTGGGCGTGTCAAAAGGAGTGGTCGTGTTGAAAGCGCTCTGCTGTAGGTTAGACGTCTTTTTTCTTCTGTTTCTTACCACACAGCCTAACATTGAGCTACCATACCGCGTTTCACTGTTAGTTTTGCACAAATAATTTTACATTTTCAGTCATAAAACCAACTATTGTTCCTTTTTGATAAAGAAATACTGATGATGGGTGTACTGTTGCTTCATGCGTTGCATGCGTGTGCTTACTGTGACTCTCACCCTGATACTAGGCAGCTGCTTCCCACACCGTTGCCGGACAGTAGCGCTTGTCAAGCGAAGGGCACTGTGTCCAGGTGTTGTTGCTGTTCATCAAATCAAATCACATTTTATTTGTCACATGCCCCGAATACAACAGGTGTAGGCCTTACAGTGAAATGCTTACTTACAAGCCCTTAACCAACAATGCAGTTTCAAGAAACAATAAGTGTTAAGTAAAAAATAGATTAATAAAAATAACAGTAAAATAACAGTAGCGAGGCTATATACAGGGGGTACCGGTACAGAGTCAATGTGCGGGGGCACAGGTTAGTCAAGGTAATTGAGGTAATATGTACATGTAGGTAGAGTGACTATGCATAGATAATAAACAGTGAGTAGCAGCAGCGTTAAGGAAGGGGGGGGGAATGCAAATAGTCCGGGTAGCCATTTCATTAGCTGTTCAGGAGTCTTATGGCTTGGGGGTAGAAGCTGTTAAGAAGCCTTTGGACCTAGACTTGGTGCTCCGGTACCGCTTGCCGTGCAGTAGCAGAGAGAACAGTCTATGTCTAGGGTGGCTGGAGTCTTTGACAATTTTTAGGGCCTTCCTCTGACACCGCCTGGTATAGAGGTCCTGGATGGCTGTAATCTCTGCCAAAGGTGCTTCTACAAAGTATTGAATCGGTGTGAATACTTATGTAAATGAGATATTTCTATATTTCATTTTCAATAAATTAGCAAAAATGTCTAAACATGTTTTCACTTTGTCATTATGGGGTATTGTGTGTAAATGGGTAACACAACAAAATGTGGAATAAGTCGAAGGGTATGACTACTTTCTGAAGGCACGGTATATGGTCAGTTTAACAGTGGTAAGAGAGCACATAGGGAGAACTGATGGTGCTGAGAAAGAACACTGTTTGGCGCAAACACTGACCCTCTCCTCATCACCATGGAAATAGAATTAGAATTGGACATGGGTTCTATTTCTATGCTCATTACAGTACGATCAACCTGTCAGGTGAAAACAAAGAGTTCAGAGGCTAGAGCAGGGATCATCAACTAGATTCAGCCACGGGATGAATTCTTCTTGAGCGGATGGTCAGGGGGCTGGAACATAATTACAAATATGAGAAATACTAAAGGCTGATCCGAGAGGACCATGTACACCGAACAAAAATATAAACGCAACATGTAAAGTGTTGGTCCCATGTTTCATGAGCTGAAATAAAAGATCCCAGATATTTTCCATATGCACAAAAAGCTTATTTCTCTAAAATGTTGTGCACAAATTTGTTTACATCCCTGTTAGTGAGCATGTCTCCTTTGCCAAGATAACCCATCCACCTGACAGGTATGGCATATCAAGAAGCTGATTAAACAGCATGATCATTACACAGGTGCACTTGGTGCTGGGGAAAATAAAAGGCCACTCTAAAATGTGTAGTTTTGTCCCAGAACACAATGCCACAGATGTCTCAAGTTTTGAGAGAGCGTGCAATTAGCATGCTGACTGCAGGAATGTCCACCAGAGCTGTTGCCAGAGAATGTAATGTTAATTTCTCTACCATAAGCCGCCTCCAACGTCGTTTTAGAGAATGTGGCAGTACGCCCAACCAGCCTCACAAACGCAGACCACGTGTATGACATCGTGTGGGTGAGCGGTTTGCTGATGTCAATGTTGTGAACAGAGTGCCCCATGGTGGCAGTAGGGTTATGGTATGGGCAGGCATAAGCTACAGACAATGAACACAATTAAATTTTATCGATGGCAATTTGAATGCACAGCGATACCGTGACGAGATCCTGAGCCCCATTGTCATGCCATTTATCTGCCGCCATCACCTCATGTTTCATGTTCCATGTCGCAAGAATCTGTACACAATTCCTGGAAGCTGAAAATGTCCCTGTTCTTCCATGGCCTGAATACTCACCAGACATGTCACCCATTGAGCATGTTTGGGATGCTCTGGATCGACGTGTACAACAGCGTGTTCCAGTTCCCGCCAATATCCAGCAACTTCGCACAGCCATTGAAGAGGAGTGGGACAACATTCCACAGGCCACAATCAACAGCCTGATCAACTTTATGTGAAGGAGATGAGTCGTGCTGCATGATACAAATACCGACTGGTTTTCTGATCGACTGATCGACGCCCCTACTTTTGATTTTAAGGTATCTGTATTCCCAGTCATGTGAAATCCATAGAATACACATAATGACACACAAATAATGCAAGAAAATCAAGTTTCCCTGCAAGACAAGGATTTTCCCGACTTTCAAGAATCCCTGAGCTAATTTCTAAACATTTTGCCATGAGGCTGAGAGAAAATGTTGCAGTTTTACAGCTAATTTCCTGTAATATCATGGTTTATGACGTGTTCATGTGCTATATGGTGGCTAAATGTCGCCATCGTGTGTGGAATAGGCAGACATACAAGAAATGAGAGAAAAGTGGCGATATTTATTTATTTATTTGTATTAGGGAACGAAACAATCAAATGGATTTTGGAGAGCTGTCAATCAAAATACGTTTGGCGAGGAGAGCTGATTATGACGTAAACTGCGTCCCCCATTCTATTTCTATGGTTCCATAGACGCAACAATGTAAACGCTCTGTAAATTCCAGTGTTTTCAACACAGTGGCTCATTAGCAAAGTTACACTTTCTGCTGCTACATCTTAGTTTAAAGACTGCAAAAATTACTGTATGAATTGGCCTACAAGACTCCGGTAAGTAGAAGGCAATATTTGATCCAAAAAGCCCGGTTTTAGTCGGGGTTTTTCGACGCATCATCTTGTAATGCTATGCTGATTTAAACTCACAAAATGCGAGAAAAGTTTCCACGATGAATCAATTAATCAGAAGAGGAATTTGTACAAATTAGCTGTAGGACCCACTATTTTCCACTGTTGTCCAGTTTTGTGCTCTAAGTAAGATGAAGTTGTCCATGACAACACTGACCTAAGGTGGGGTTTGCTTAGGCTTGGCATTTGAAATCAATCAATCTCTTTATTTTTCTCTCAGTCATGTCTAGAAGAAGTGCGAGACTTCTTAATGTAGGGTACTATGACCAGTCCTCAGATGATGAAATCTCTGGCTCCATGGTCTCCTACAAGGAGAGCCCTGTGCCTAGGTAGGTAGGTGTGTGTGTGTGTGTGTGTGTGTGTGTGAGTGAGAGAGTATCGCTGTGTGTGCGGTGATGCTTATTGCACTTACGGTGGTATTAGCACAGTGTTAACTGTGTGTGTGTCAAATCAAAATGTATCTGTGTGTGTCTGTCTCAGGGTATTCAACAAGAGGAAACCGAGAACAGGGGGCCATAAGGGAATCCAAAAGCCAAATCAGCCAATCAAAGGTGATGAATTAATTGGTACTGGTGACATCACTTCCTGCCTGCGCTAGGGGTTGTCCAGATTGATAACCCCTATCTAGCCCCTTGTCCCTAGGACATGGTTGTTCTGTCTTGCCAACTCCATGACAATGATCATAGAGTTTGAACAACACAGGACGTCCCTAGCCCGGGGTTAGACACTTTTGTAGATTGGAAATATGCAAAGGAAAGTCATAATGCAATGTTTACCCCACAGCTGTCTGAGCTCTCACCCACCCCCACCCCCCTCTTTCAGCCCGCTCTCTCGAAGGTTAGCATCCGCCCACCGCCCCTCATCCTCCCCTCCTCTCTTTCTCTCCCTCCTCCCCCACCCCTCTCTTTCCCTCCTCCCCCCACCCTCTTTTCTCTCTCTCTCCCAACATCCTCCCACCCCTCTCTTTCTCTCCCCCCCCTCCCCCCCCCTATTCCTTCCCTCCCCCTCTGTCAGTCATGGCGCCAACTGTGAGGGCCGTCCAGAGAAGGCAGACCTTCCTGTCTCCTACTGTGGCACCCAGTGTGGCCCCTGTTCCTTTGGCCCCCGCCGCCTCTGTGGCCCTGCAGCCCAGCATGAGCTCCTCCAGCATTGGATTCACCAGAATTGACAGCTCTGGCTACTGCTCTGATTCTGAGGAGCCACTGAGGGTCAAGACACGCTCCAACAGGAGACTATCCAGCGGGATAGGCACTAGGACCAGTGCCAGCGCTAGCTGCAGTGAGTTCAGTGTGTCTGTCTGTGAGAGACAACACTAGCTTGGCATTTGCATGTCTTTATATGCTTGTAAAAAATAAGAAGATAAAAAAAGCTGGTTAGTTAGCATTAGCTTAGCATCAGTGTGTCTCAATTCAATTTTCAATTTAAGGGCCTTTTTAATTTATGCGTGTCTCTCTGCTTGAAATTTGTCAGCATTAGTTTAGCATTAGCTCGTCGCTTTGCTTTTGCCTTGTTTGTTAGCATTAGCATTATCTTTGGCTCTGTGTGTCTCCCTGTAGGCCGTTCATGTTTCCCGACTGGTTTGCCATCCTGGTTTGTCATCTTCCTCTTCCTCCTGCCCGTTCTCCTGACCTTCCGTGAGTGTGACGTAACGTTCATGTTCACACATCTAAATATCCTCCTATAAATCTGTCCTCTGTGTGACCCGAACCACAATGTCTTCCCTGCAGTATTTGTCTTTCCGACCGTGTTCCCCACCATGAACCTCAACCTTCCAATGAACCGGCCGACTCAACCTGACTCTCCGCCCGACCTGACATCAAAGGCTACAGTAGGACCTCTGTTTTTCATCTGTCTTCTGGTGACGTCTCACATGGCACACTATACCCTATATAGTGGCCCACTTATGTGGGCTCTGGTCAAAGGTAGTGCGCTACATAGGGAATAGAGTGCCATTTGGGGCAGACTGTGTTATCTATGTCTTGATTGGGTGAATGCTGCAATGAAGCTATGCATGGGCAACACTCTGGTTGACTAGTTAAAACTCTTTCTACAGTATGGAACTTCTATCATGGATTCAGCTCTTGAAGACAAAATGGACAACATCCAGGTACAAAATAGAGAGAGGGGGGTGGAGAGAGAATGCACAAAATGTTTGGCCATATTAATTTATCTGTCCATGTGCTTGTCTTGCAGAGAGAGATTGAAATTCTTAAACAGAAAGCACACCAGCACCGAGGCATTTCCCAGGTGAGAATAGTCAATCTATCCCTTTGTAGTGGAAGTACCTGGGATTATTTTCTATTTTTTGCTGTAGTATTGCCAGTTTGTCAATTGAGATGTGGTGTCAATAATTGCCCTTCTGGAATTAATAAAGTTTATTCAATTGAATTGTGTTTGTGTCCACCAACAGATGGTACAAAGACTCAATATCGACATGAGGGGAGTAAGGAGCGAGATGAACAACGTCAGAGGGAAAGGGAACAGGTGAGTGTGGACCAGTCCTGAAACTACCCATATAGTCCCTAGCTCCTACCCCATAAAAAAACAAGACAAAAGTTATGTTGTATTCTATTCTAGAAGACAAATATCTGTTTCTCCCAAAATAGAAAATACATTTGTTTTGTGTTGTTTCATTCTATTTTATTGTAGTGTCTCTATTGCTGTCTCTACTGCTGGAGAGCGTCTGGCCCAGGACGCTGCCGAGTTCGGCAGCAAGATGGCTGATCTCCAAGAGGAACAGTCCATTACCACACAGAGGGTCAGAGCCCTGGAGGACACCAGTGATACGGTAACACACACGTACACGCAGGCACACGTGCACACACACACACACATACACACACACACTTCTCCTAATATGCGTGATCTCTGTGTGTTCTCTAGCTGCAGCAACAGGTGACCACCATTCAAAACCAGCCTCCCCCTGCTCCCACACCAGAAAACATACACCTGACACCTGATTTTAAAGAGGCCATGGAGAAATGGCTGCGTGACCAACTGGCCCAGGTGGGTTTATTTATTTTCTTGTAAAATAAACAGAAGATGTGATGCGTTTTTAAAGTTGACCGTGCATGTGTGATTGTGTGTCTGTCTGTGTCTCACAGGATGAGAGATGGGACATGAAACGGGTGATAAAGGATTGCAGTCGTCCGTTAGCGGACCGACTGCCTGACTTTGCCTTGGAGTCTCAAGGTTTGTGACATCACTGTACTTCAGCATGTTTTCCGTATGTGCCACAGAAATAGTCCCAGCACGTGTGGATGCTTTATAGACTACAGTATTGTGTGTGTGTGTGTGTGTGTGTGTGTGTGCGTGTGTGTGTGTGTGTAGGTGGCAGTATTGTAACCAGCAGATGCTCTGAGACGTATCACACCCGTTCGGCCTGCGTGAGCTTCCTGGGGATTCCCCTGTGGTATCCTGAAGAGACCCCCCGGACTGTCATCCAGGTTGGTACCTCTCTCTCCCTTTGTGTCATCCAGGTACCTATATCTCTCTTTCTGAAGTGTGTCGTCTTGACCACCATGTTTAAATGCAGGTTAACCATTCTCCTACAATTTCCGTGGCCTGCGGAAATCTAATTAACATAATACAAAAATTCCCATCTAAATCCATCTGTTTAAGCTAGAGATATTTGTTTCTTTGTATGGGCTGCGTCTCAATCCACCACATCCACCGATATCGCCCTTCCGCATCTGCGGTGAAAGGTGGCAAATTATTATGAGACTCTCACAAACACGATGATGTTCTGTTTTTTTATATTTTTTATACACTAAATTTTTTACATTTTAGTCATTTAGCAAACGCTCTTATCCAGAGCGACTTACAGTTAGTGAGTGCATACATACATTTTGTAATTTTTCATACTGGCTCCCCGTGGGAATTGAACCCACAACCAAGGCATTGCAAACGCCATGCTCTACCAACTGAGCTACATCCCTGCCAGCCATTCCCTCCCCTACCCTGGACGACACTGGGCCAATTGTGCGCCGCCCCATGGGTCTCCCGGTCGCGGCTGGCTACGACAGAGCCTGGATTCGAACCACGCGATGCAGTGCCTTAGACCACTGCACCCCTTCAAATGAGTGGATTCTGTTATTTCAGCCACACCCATTGCTGACAGGTGTATAAAATCGAGCACACAGCCATGCAATCTCCATAGACAAACATTGGCAGTAGAATGGCCTTACTGAAAAGCTCAGTGACTTTCAACGTGGCACCGTCATAGGATGGTCCTCTGTAGCTCAGCTGGTAGAGCACGGCGCTTGTAACGCCAAGGTAGTGGGTTCGATCCCCGGGACCACCCATACACTAAAATGTATGCACGCATGACTGTAAGTCGCTTTGGATAAAAGTGTCTGCTAAATGGCATATTATTATTATTATTATGCCACCTTTCCAACAAGTCAGTTTGTCAAAATTCTGCCCTGCTAGAGCTGCCCCAGTCAATTGTAAGTGCTGTTATTGTGAAGTGGAAACATCTAGGAGCAACAACGGCTCAACCGCGAAGTGGTAGGCCACACAAGCTCACAGAACGGGACCGCCGTGTACTGAAGCGCGTACCGAGGTCCAAACTGCCTCTGGAAGAAACGTCAGCACAATAACTGTTTGTCGGGAGCTTCATGAAATGGGTTTCCATGGCCGAGTAGCCGCACACAAGCCTAAGATCACCATGCGCAATGCCAAGCGTTGGCTGTAGTGGTGTAAAACTTGCCGCCATTGGACTCTAGAGCAGTGGAGATGCGTTCTCTGGAGTGATGAATCACGTTTCACCATTTGGCAGTCCGACGGACTAATCTGGGTTTGGCGGGTGTCAGGAGAACACTACCTACCCCAATGCATAGTGCCAACTGTAAAGTTTGGTGGAGGAGGAATAATGGTCTGGGGCTGTTTTTCGTGGTTCGGGCTAGGCCCCTTAATTCCAGTGACGGGAAATCTTAACGCTACAGCATACAATGACATTCTAGACGATTCTAGTGCTTCCAACTTTGTGGCAACAGTTTGTGGAAGGCCCTTTTCAGCATGACAATACCCCCGTGCACAAAGCGAGGTCCATACAGAAATGGTTTGTCAAGATCGGTGTGGAAGAACTTGACTGGCCTGCACAGAGCCCTGACCTCAAAATCAAATATCTAAATGATCCTTGGTATGACCATCTTAAAACAATTCCATATGTTGGCTTAGTAGAACCGACCCCCCCCTTAGACTCTAGATCAGTGTTTCCCAACCCAGGTCCTCCCAACAATAACAACAAATGTATTGTAACCATGGACAAGCACACCTGATTCAACTTGTCAACTAATCATCAAGCCCTCAATGAGCTGAATCAGGTGTGCTTGTCCAGGGCTATAACGAAACAGTGTACTGTTGGGGGTACTGGAGGACCAGGGTTGGAAAACACTGCTCTAGAGGGTTAAAGACTGATCCAAATACACCTGTCACTCATCTTTCACCCCCTCAGGGCCAGCAGGTGCTGCCTGGCAAGTGTTGGCCGTTTCCTGGGGCCCAGGGCACTATGACCATCGCCCTGTCTCACCCCATCCACGTGACCCATGTCTCTCTGGAGCACCTCTCCACCGCCGTCTCCCCTAACGAACGCATCGACAGTGCCCCCAAGGACTTCGCCGTCTACGTGAGTCACCTCTGAGGGCCTGTATTCACAAAGTCTCTGAGTGTGGGGGGGGGGGGGGGACCCTTTCCTTCCCTGTTCAGCACTCCAACTCTGAGGCTCTTTCCTTTCTTGTACCACATAGAATCTACAGTGGGATGATTTGTACAGGGATGTTTTAGTGCTATGTAGAATACCTTTTAATTGACTCCCTCACTTTTTCCCACTCGCTTTCTGTGTAGGGCATGTCTACTGTCAGCGAAGAGGGAACACTGCTCGGAATGTTTACATATGACCAGGCTGGAGATCCCCTCCAGACATTCAAATTGCCTGTGAGTCCAATGCTGACAAACTATTAGAGATACATAGTAAAGATACAGGCTAATGAGACAGGTAGGGATACATAGTAAAGATTCAGGCTAATGAGACAGGTAGTGATACATAGTAAAGATACAGGCTAATGAGACAGGTAGAAATACCTTTTGGGGCCTAATGTGTATGCATTAAGACTTATCTCAAAAGTAAATAAGCTTGGACTTCTCTCACCCTCTTCTCACTCTGACTTTTTTTTTCTCAGAACCCTACTGCAGTGTATCGGTATGTGGAGCTCCATGTCCTCAGCAACTGGGGTCACCAGGACTACACCTGTGTGTACCGCTTCCGGGTTCACGGCAAGATGGCTTCCTTTTGAAGGGGATCGTCTATCTATCTTAACCCCTGTGTGTGTGTGTGTGTGTGTGTGTGTGTGTGTGTGTGTGTGTGTGTGTCCACCCCAACCCCAGAATTTTCACTTTCATACTGGAGCATATATTTTGCCTCTAAATAAAATCTGTATCAGGCAGTGTTTGTATGGTTTTGGCACTAATTGGAACTGAGTGTAATGATGGTGGCCATATTGGATTCCCAATAGAGTTGAATTACACCAGAATAGTTGTAAATGTCATAAGTATAGTACGCCATTCTAAAAGATGTATCTTATTTGCAAAACTCATTTACAGGTGATTAAACCCCCATCAAATGGTATTATGGCAGCCATATTGGATTTTGCACACTATATTGGATTTGGGGCAAAATCCAGGGTGGCCCCGAGGCTCAATAACTCTCCATGCCCTGAAATACACTAAGGAGCCTTTGACTGGGGAAGAAAAACATAACTTTTCAGTGTCTGGGTCTGGGCCCTTTGTTTTCCTTAGAGCCATAACACTAAACAACTTTTTGTCAGGAAGTACCATACAGTAGGGTTTCCCAAACTTGGGGGGGGCCTGGTTGCACGTTTTGGTTTTTTGACCTAGCACTACACAGCTGATTCAAATTATCAACGCTTGATGATGAGTTGGTTATTTGAATCAGCTGTGTAGTGCTAGGGCAAAAACCAAAACGTGCACCCAGGGGGGGCCCCAGGACCAAATTTTGGAAGTATTGAATGGGAGTAAATTTGACTTGGAACATTGTCTATTAACCAGCTACCAAAAAGTAAAGTCTACATTCATCATTAATATTCATAGTTCATATTTCTGCCTATTGTTCATCTGTGTTGATATTTCCACAATGCATCAAGATATCCTCATGCTGTTTGTGTATGTAGGGCAGCCAGGCAATATTCTGCACTAACGCAGCTGACTGTAGACGAAAGTCAACGAGTGAAGTCGGGGGAGATGTGTCTGCGACAGCTGAAAGTCAGACAGTGTTGTGGTCATAGAGAATGATAGAGGCCTCTAGTGGCCAAAAGGCATATTACCATGGGCAGAGCCATTGAGGGCTTCCACCATTTTTAATGTAGTCAACTGGGTGGGACTTCCAACTTGTAACTTGTTGGAGTCATCAGGGGGGGATCAGCCAATAGTGAAGAAGAAAATGGACTACTTCAAAATGGAGATTCCCTCAATGGCTCTGCCCATACTGTCACAGGTGCTATGATGGTACAGATACAAAGATGAGTCTCCTATCTATCTCTATGGTTCTGGTTTACATTTTTACATTTTAGTCATTCAGCAGACGCTCTTATCCAGAGCGACTTACATGAGCAATTAGGGTTAAGTGCCTTGCTTAAGGGCACATCGACAGATTTTTCACCTAGTCGGCTCGGGGATTAGAACCAGCGACCTTTCGGTTACTGGCACAACGCTCTTACCCACTAAGCTACCTGCCGCCCGTTTACCTACAGCAAGGCTCCGTGCAACATGGCAGTGTTGCCATTGTTTATAGAAGTTTTTCTTTGTAATGTCAAAATAAACATGTCTCCAACCCCCATATCACACACTCAAAAAGTGTAAATATTCCTTGTACATTGTACCTTTGATCACATGGTTTTTGTGAAGTTCATGCAGTTGACATGCAGTTATCCCTATAATGCAACACACTTTGAAAGGCGGTGACCAACAATATTTTTACACAACCATCCATTCATAAATGGGAGACATTAGAGATGTGAAAAAACATGGTTGTGTTTTGTAACTTCTACTCCTGTATCTCAGTTGGTAGAGCATGGCGCTTGCAACGCAAGGGTTGTGGGTTCGATTCCCACAGGGGGCTAGTATGAAAAATGTATGCACTCACTAATCGGAAGTCGCTCTGGAGAAGAGCGTCTGCTAAATGACTAAAATGTAAAATGGGTATCTAAAAAGTGTGGGGGCGTTGCCAGTAGAGCTCACCAGCTTGTAGTCCTAAAAACAAGAAATGATTTACCTCATGCTCCTTCAGCCATTCCTATGGGGAACATTTATGGGGAAAGAATAGGGTTTTGGGATAAATGCTGAAAATAAGGTCTGAGGTTAACACAGGCTTATGAGATCTTATAAGTTTTGTTCTATGAGATATCAGTCAGTTAACATGATCTTTATGAATTATGAAGACTTTGTGTTTTGTTTTGTTTATTACATAAATGCTTCAAAATTCAGAAAAGTGACATTAGCTGATGAAGATTATCTCATAGAACAAAAAGTATAAGATCTAAGCCTGTGTTTACCACAGACCTTATTTTCGGCATTTATCTCAAAACCCTATAAAAAGAAACTCCATTAATTTTCCCATAGGCTTTGTCCAACTAGTTAGAGCCTACAAAAAGACGCCATTACTATTGCTCTCTATGGCATACTGTTCCAGACAGGTTCCAGAGGTGTCTTTTGTTTTGGTGTGGGGAGAAGAACAAAGGAGAAGGGGGAAGCTGCAGCTCAATATGGCGACCGGAGAATGGGCGAGTGGGTGTGTCGAAAGGAAAGTAGTGGGCTTGTGGAAAGGAAAGTAGTGGGCTTGTGGAAAGTAGTGGGCTTGTGGAAAGGAGTGGGTGTGTCGAAAGGAAAGTAGTGGGCTTGTGGAAAGTAGTGGGCGTGTGGAAAGGAGTGGGTGTGTCGAAAGGAAAGTTGTGGGCTTGTGGAAAGTAGTGGGCGTGTGGAAAGGAGTGGGTGTGTCGAAAGGAAAGTTGTGGGCTTGTGGAAAGTAGTGGGCGTGTGGAAAGGAGTGGGTGTATCAAAAGGAAAGTAGTGGGCTTGTGGAAAGGAGTGGGTGTGTCGAAAGGAAAGTAGTGGGCTTGTGGAAAGTAGTGGGTGTGTCGAAAGGAAAGTAGTGGGCGTGTGGAAAGTAGTGGGCGTGTGGAAAGGAGTGGGTGTGCCGAAAGGAACAATGCGGGGGACAATGCAAATAGTCCGGGTAGCCATTTCATTAGCTGTTCAGGAGTCTTATGGCTTGGGGGTAGAAGCTGTTAAGAAGCCTTTGGACCTAGACTTGGTGCTCCGGTACTGCTTGCCGTGCAGTAGCAGAGAGAACAGTCTATGACTAGGGTGGCTGGAGTCTTTGACAATTTTTAGGGCCTTCCTCTGACACCGCCTGGTATAGAGGTCCTGGATGGCAGGAAGCTTGGCCCCAGTGATGTACTGGGCCGTACGAACTACCCTCTGTAGTGCCTTGCGGTCTGAGGCTGAGCAGTTGCCATAGCAGGCAGGGATGCAACCAGTCAGGATGCTCTCGATTGTGCAGCTGTAGAACTTGTTGAGGATCTGAGGACCCATGCCAAATCTTTTCAGTCTGCTGAGTGGGAATAGGCTTTGTCGTGCCCTCTTCACGACTGTATTGGTGTGTTTTGTCGTGCCCTCCCCATTGAGTAGACTGTATGTGCATGTATCAAGGTGACATCTAGATGGTTTTTAATATGAGTTATTTCTTGTGTAGGCTGCTATCCTACTTGAACTAAAATCATGGGAGGCGGGGAAAAATGGCCACATTAGCTACCATTGAGGATTTCATGTTGAAGGCACACCGCGGTACTAGAATGGTACCAATAATTGCTTTTATTTCACCAGATGTATGACCTTGAGCCGTTTACTTTAAAATCACACACAGAGGAAGTTATAAGGATAATTTAGTTGCTAATGGCAGCCTGCAGTACCTCAGTCGGCCTTCAACTTGAGATACTCCATGAGAGAAAGCAGCACTGAGCTAGCCTACAACGTCATTTCCTAGAGTACCTCAAACTGCACATGCAATGTTTCCAAAAACTCCTCCATGTAGCAAGATGGCGACTCGCTGAATTGACACTTCCTGATCAAATGCGCCACTGATCATTCTCATAGGAAACAATGGGGTGATGTCATCGATGGCTTTGTTCATATTTTTTTACAGTCTATGGCAGCAACCCATCCATGTATGTTGCATTGATCCGATCTGTAATAGACTATGGCAGTATAGCGTATGGTTCGACAGCCCGAACCACATTGGAAAGGCTAGATGTCATACAGGGGCAAAGACTCAGAATAGGTAGTTGGGCGTTTCGGATGTCCCCAGTGGCTGCATTACAGGTGGAGATGGGGGATATGCCATTGCAGATTAGGAGACAGCAGCTGGCAATGAATTATTGGGTCAACCTACAGGGACATGGGGTGTCTCATCCTGCGAAAGGGATTTTGCAGGCATGCTGGGAACATGAGCGAAGACAGAACACGAGCTTTGGGTGGGTGGGTAATACCCAGGCGAAGGAGATGGGACTGTATGGAAAGGGAGTTTAGTCCAACGGTAGCTATTCCTGTAAATCCACCATGGCTACTCCCGCCTCCAGTAGTTGATCTAGAAGTGTTGGAGAGACTACAGAATGATTGGGAGGGTGTTCATCCATCTGATTTGTTTAAGAGAAGTCTGGATACTGTGTATCAGGATTTTGTGGCCATTTACACAGATGGTTCAAAAGATCCAAGGACAGGACGTACTGGGTCAGCATTTGTAGTGCAGGAATGTGTGGTGGAAGTCAGGAAACGTATTACAGATCATCTGGCCCTCTGTAGCTCAGTTGGTAGAGCATGGCGTTTGCAACGCCAGAGTTGTGGGTTTGATTCCCACGGGGGGCCAGTATGAAAATGTATGCACTCACTAAATGTAAGTTGCTCTGGATAAGAGTGTCTGCTAAATGACTAAAATGTAAAATCTAGCTGTATATATGGTGGAGCTGATGGCCATACTGTTGGCCTTGCAGTGGGTGGAGGAAGTCAAGCCAGACAGAGTACTTATTTGCTCTGATTAATGTGCAGTGTTAATGAGTCTCCCGTCCTTTAGCTCACATAGCAGACAAGACCTGCTTTATGAGGTGCTACAAACCCATGGCAGGATTAGACAGATGGGTATACAGATAAGATTTACTTGGGTCACAGCCCATGTGGGGGTGGAGGGGAATGAGGCAGTTGATGTACTGGCTAAACAAGCACTTAGTAGTGGGGATGTTGATGTTGTAGTTTCAATGAGCAAGGCAGAGGGAAAAAGCCTGATATGGACAGTGATGGTGCAGAGATGGCAGGAGCAGTGGAATAGAGATAATAAGGGCAGGCATTTATTTCAAGTACAGAGGAAAGTCGGGGAGGGGAGGACGGCAGGAAGGGACAGAAGAGAGGAGGCTATTTTTACAAGATTAAGGGTGATAGGAAAGCATCCAACAGGAAAGTGTGATTATTGCCAGGAAACAGAGACCGTGGAGCATGTATTGCTACAGTGTGGGCAGTATCAGAGAGAAAGAGAGAGGATGAGATCTAGTATGAGGGAGAAGGGGATACAGGAAATTAGTTTAAAGAGTATACTGAGTAGAACGTCATTAGATATAGTCTGAAATATTTTGTTATCTTTTTTTAAGAGAAACGGGGCTGGCAGGTAGGATTTAGTTTCTCCCTGTCTCTGGCCCACACTCCAGTACAGTAGGTGGCGGTAATGCACCATAACGTTGGATGCCAACCGCTGATAAACCCCACTGAAGAAGAAGCCCCCCACCCCACACGCTTAGAAAAAAAGGGGGGCGGGGGGTTATTCACGTTAATGTTTGACGAGATTCTCGTCAAACATTGATGTATCAGCGCCATTTTGGGAAGGAGACAGGCAAAAGCGGCAAAAATTAAAAAATAAGCGAGGAATTTGCAAACACTTTAACAAGTTAATGAGATGGTCAGTGTGAAAAGGTTTATACATACATATCAGCGTCTTGACCTAGTGTTACGAAACAACAAAAAAGCGAATGACAACTGCTTAAGGGGGCACGAGCGAGTAAGCTGTGACTGACTGATTCTGCAAGCTACCTAAAAGCTAACGACGCTAGCTAACGTCAGCTTGTGTTTGTTGAACCACATGAAGGAGTCACTATCTGCAATGTAGCTAACTAGCGAAGTTATAGGAAGAGCTTTGACATAATTGAAAGGTAAGTATTGCGGAATGGCTCACTGAACGTATCAAGAACAGGGAATAGCATTAGCTCGTTTGGCAAACTACCTGGTCAACTAGCTAAGTTAGCTAGCTGACATTTCAAGAGTTGAGTGAGCTAGCTAGCTAGTAACAGCAGCTAACTTGTGTACGTTAGCTGGTGGTGTTTAAAAGGTATTGACTGTAGAGTGAATAACATAGCCATGTGACCAAATCGCAAATTTAACACAGGCTATAGTCAAATATACTTTTAACTAACCCTTAGGTTTCCTCTCTTATCTGTGATATATTCTACACACTCAATATAATGCCAACTAGGTCACGTTACGCTAGCTGTAACTGTCAAAGGTACAAGTACAGCTAACGTGACTTTCTAGCCTGCTAACTTTTGCCCTTAACTAGCAATCAGCCTTATGTATCGTTTAACGCAGTCTTAGCAAACTATATTGCTTTCATTCTTTCTCTTTTGGAATACAGGTGAACACTGAACAGCCTCACTTTATAGGATATCCCAATCATCAAAGAAGAGAGACGTGACTTTCTACTGTTGGCTCAACGTCCGAGTTGCATTGAATGGGATAAACAGCATCTGAACATGTGGACTGGTTTTGTGGAATTACAGAATAACTATTTCATTTAGCATTTTATTTGAGACTTTGTGATATTATGTGAACTTACATAAGGCACTGACCGGATTTAGTCTCCTCTTCCAATTTTTCCATGTTTCTCAAAAAATGAATCATTATTGAAAGTTACAGTTAGCTAGCTAACTTTACTTTTGGCAATATGTGATCACACAAAAATGTTAACGCCTGATTTAAACAAATATGAGTTAATGGTATCTGGGCAGTTAAAACCCCAACAAAATCACTGAATCCTTCCTAAAGGGATCTTAGTAAATCCACCCCAATGTCTCTTTTGTAAAATTGGTTGAGAACTTCGTTGGATTTCCTTCAACATCTCTGAAGGACTTAATCATTCTGGGAACTGGAATTACATGGCAGAAATGGAAAGTTAGTTGGGAATATCAACTTCAACATTTTGTAATTGACCCTATCTGCACGATACATGTGGGGAGCAGACTAACTGGATAACTAATTGTGAGAACAAAAACACTGGGAGAATTTTGGGATTACAGCGCAGCAGACGCCTCTGCTCAGTCCTCCGTAGCTGGTTTGTATGACTTTGAATTTATTGCACCCAAATGTCTTGCAACAACAAGAATGTCTTGATATTTGCATTGTTAGACATCAAGCCAAGGTAGTAAACAATGTTGATATTTGTTTTTTCCTCTTTTGTCACCTATCCATCAACATGTAGAATTAGTATTGTTGATCGACTGCAGGTTTAACATCTCAAATGTTGTGCTTGTGAGCTAGTAAGCAATTGGAAACAGTTATGCAATGCTCACATAGGTCTGTAGTGAGAGGAACAAAATGCTGCTGGTTGAATCTCGACTGTGACCTCTTGTTATCTGACTAGACGGTCGTGTTAATAGTTCAAACACTGTCTGGCTGTTGAAATCAAATGCCGCCACAGACTTCCCAGTGTTTTGGAGGGATTAAAATGCCTCACAGTTGGAAGCAGTTAATGAATATTTCTTAATCTCACATAGAGGTCCCTTCTATGCTTTGGTCTCTTGTCACAATGATTATGTTGATCTGTGTGTGGCACTGGATAAAAACCTATTCTCAGTCTGGTCCACTGAGATAATGAAGGGCTCTTGACAAATTTGAACAAAGCATTGTTTTCCGATAGCAGGATGCATCTCATATAGTAGACACGCATGCCCAGAGGAAGATAGTACAAGGTTCTTTCTCACACAACGTCCCAGGTGTATGTTTGAATTGTCATTTTGACAGCCAGTAGTACAAGCCATGCTTCCTTTTCTAGTATTTGACGTTTCCATTCACAACTGTGTATTTGTGAGACTACTAACTGATGACCAACCCTGAGAGAACCATTTTGTTAACCTCCTGATGTAACTAGGGTTGCTAAATTCCCTGGTTTTCCAGAAATCATATCCCGGTTGGAAGATTCTAGATTTCCTTCTTATTCCCTCCTCATTACAGAAATCCTCCAACCGGGATTTTGGGAAAACCAGGGAATTTATTGAAAGAACCTCGATTTGTGCAACCCTAGACGTGACACTGTCATGGTCCATCCGATCTTCATCAGTCGGGCCCTGTGATGATGAATAGCTCTCTGTTGCATCAGCTTTAAACTTCCATTGGACTCTTTCATGTCATGCAAGGGTTGGATGCAACTCACTGCCACATGAATGTAATATCTGCTGTCTGCTATGCCTAATGGGAAGCTAAAGGGACTGGAGCAGGAAAAACTCCATTCAGTCCCCTTGCATTGTATAGGTTGGTTTGTAGTTTGCCACTTGAAAGTGAATTCAATTGAGAAGTCGTTGGGCCTAATGCCCATAAACACACTGTCATAAATCCTGGAGTTGGCTCAGTTACTACAGTATCTCTCTCAAATTCCACAGTGCCTCTTTCTCACCCTCTCTTTATCTCTCTCCTCTCTCTCTTATTCAGGGGCTGGAGAAATGATGTGTTGATGTCTTGCCCACCTCACTGGAGACGCAAACCTAAATGGCGCAGCATGACTTCACTCCAGCCTGGCTTAACTTTCCCACAGCACCCTCATCAGCCAAGGTACCTTTGTGTTTGTACTTTCAGTGTGTTTGTGTGTAGCCCTTGTCCAGTCCTGTGTGTGTACAAGATATACTGCCTGTCCCCTTGTGAAGAAACACGTCTTCTGTTCATGTCAGACACACACCGAACATAACATGTGATGGTTGTTGTTCGGAGGATTCGTTAGCCTGACAGTCTGTCCATGTGTGTTAGCCCTCTCAGGTCTATGACAAGTCTTTCCAGTCTCCTGCCAAATGTCTGGACAACCACGGGGATGTGAGTCGCAGACGCCACAACTCATCAGACGACTCAGAGTCTGTCAACGGACGCACTGGGGGTACGGAACTGGGTTAGAACATCTATTAATGTTAGTGAGAATGAACAAATCAAGAGCTGGTTTGACTCTGTGCCTCTCAGTTAACCGCTTGCTTGTCTGGCTGTCTACCCATCTAACAATCTATTCTTCATCTACCTATCCATCCATGCGTCTGTCTCTGCGATAGAGGGACTAGATTCAGCCGTGGGACACTTTATTATTATTATTATTTTCTTGATTGGATGGTCAGGGGGACGGAACATAATTATAAATCATTTGTAGACTGTAAATTGACCACAAGTAGCCCAAACAGAAAATATATTTGACTGAAACATAATCATTTCAAACCTTGCTTCCATTTGTATACGATCACATGTATCTCTCTATTATGTGTCGGAATATTTTGGAACAGATTTCAAAAATTAAAATCACTTGGAGCTGATGAGATGTTTTTAGTCTTTTGTGTCCAACAATAAAAAAATCACAGCCAGTTGGGGAACCCTGCTCTATACTCTGTGGTAAAGTCAAGTTGTCTGTTTCACAGGAGGCTACTCCAGGAAAGAGAGGAACGGATGGAGAGTCCGGAACGGCAGCGAGGGCTCCAGCTCCCGCGCTCCCCTCCAGCAAGGTGGACCCTCTCCTCGCTCCAAGAGCAAAGGCCAGCCGAAGGGCCAGCAAGGCCACAGGGACGACGGGGACAGACGCAAACAGTTTCAAGCGGAAGACTTTGTGAGTGGTGTAGTAAGGAAGCCCTATGGAGCTGTGACCATCCCTAGGCTTTTTTCTTATGACCATTCAAATAATCCTAAACAAAACCAGTTTGAAGTCATCACACAATCTCACGCAAATACAATCAGCCATTACATATTGGTTTAGCTCACCCCCACTCCCCTTTAGGAAACACTCCTCAATCTGTCTTCCCTAAATTCCTCATCTAGTATTTAATATTATGCTAGTGTCTTCCAAACATATGGATATGGATTGGGAATTTTGTCATATTGTTTAAAAAACTCTTTGTTTTTGCCACGTGTCAGATTTATCCTACACAACTTGCTTGTGTAGTAAGATGCCTGCTGTTTTTCTTTCAGCCATCACTCCATCCTGATGCGGACCGTGAGGTCAACCGTGACAAAGCTGTTGCCACTGGAGTATGGGGTGAGCTCCCAATCTATTCTCTCCATTCTCCAACTTCATTAGACTTTTATGCAGTTGTCTCCTTTGGTTGCCCTTTTGGAACAAATAGGATTAATACATATTTAAAGCTACAATATGTAACTTTTTGTGCGACCCTGACTAAATTCACAGAGAAATGTAAGTTATAGATCTGTCATTCTCATTGAAAGTAAGTCTAAGAAGCGGTAGATATGTTCTATGTGTGCAATTTTTATGCTCTCCATTCTTAAGTTTTTTTGTTTTCGCGTATTTTACTTTTGGTTTTGTACTCCAGCTGAAGATACAATATTTTTGGTTATTGAAGAGAGATGTCACAGCGGTTTAAATGGTAGAATGATTCTCTAAACTGCTTGTTTTGTCACACAAAATGAACGATTAGAATTTTAGCAACCAGGAAATGGCGGTGCGTTCTCTGCATATTGCGCCTTTTAATTCATCTATTATTATGATAACTGTACCTTTGTGGGTTTTTTTTATAGTGAGGCTTTTACATTTTGAGGCAAATTGAAAAGCTGTGGTGTTTCATCCTGCTCCGTCTGTTTAGAACACCCGCCCAACCCTCAATCCAGGGCCTCTAAAATGATGGTAATCAAACGCGTCTCCAGGGAGGAGCCCACACCAGCACAGACCTGCGCGTCCACGCCTCAACAACCACAAGCCCCTTCCCGCAACGGCACTGGCCCCTCCCTCTACAAGGGCCCCATCCCCAAATCTGTCAGTCTTCCAGTCAAGGTGAGATTGTCATGTCCTTGTCTCCTTTTGACTTTTCCTTCCTGATCTGAAAGGCCAGGATTGTAGACAGTGTGAAAGGTGTGCTTTCTTCTGTATCCCTGTCAGCTATTCAGTCCTGTCAGACCAGTTGCTGTTTCATTCTCGGTTGGCTTTGTAAAAAGCACATGCACGCAGTTTTTTAGTATTGATTGAAGAAACAAATTAACCAATGATTGATATGCTCTTTTAAAAAAGATATACACTACCGTTAAAAAGTTTGGGGTCACTTAGAAATGTCCTTGTTTTCCATGAAAACATACATAAATTGAGTTTGAATAGGAAATATAGCAAAATGCATAGGAAATGTAGTCATTGACAAGGTTAGAAATAATGATTTTGTTTTTATTGAAATAATAATTGTGTCCTTCAAAATTTGCTTTCGTCAAAGAATCTTCCATTTGCAGCAATTACAGCCTTGCAGACCTTTGGCATTCTAGTTTATTTATTTAGTCATTTTAGCAGACGCTCTTATCCAGAGCGACTTACAGTTAGAGTGCATACATTTTTCATACTGGCCCCCCGTGGGAATCGAACCCACAACCCTGGCGTTGCAAACGCCATGCTCTACCAACTGAGCTACACGGGGCCCTAGTTGTCAATTTGTTGAGGTAATCTGAAGAGATTTCACCCCATGCTTCCTGAAGCACCTCCCACAAGTTGGATTGGCTTGATGGGCACTTCTTACGTACCATATGGTCAAGCTGCTCCCACAACAGCTCAATAGGGTTGAGATCCGGTGACTGTGCTGGCCACTCCATTATAGACAGAATACCAGCTGACTGCTTCTTCCCTAAATAGTTATTGCATAGTTTGTAGCTGTGCTTTGGGTCATTGTCCTGTTGTAGGAGGAAATTGGCTCCAATCAAGTGCCGTCCACAGGGTATGGCATGGCGTTGCAAAATGGAGTGATAGCCTTCCTTCTTCAAGATCCCTTTTACCCTGTACAAATCTCCCACTTTATCACCACCAAAGCACCCCCAGACCATCACATTGCCTCCACCATGCTTGACAGATGGCATCAAGCACTCCTCCAGCATCTTTTCATTTGGTCTGCGTCTCACAAATGTTCTTCTTTGTGATCCGAACACCTCAAACTTCGATTCGTCTGTCTATAACACTTTTTTCCAATCTTCCTCTGTCTAGTGTCTGTTATTTTGCCCATCTTAATCTTTTCTTTTTTTGGGCCAGTCTGAGATATGGCTTTTTCTTTGTAACTCTGCCTAGAAGGTCAGCATCCTGGAGTCGCCTCTTCACTGTTGACGTTGAGACTGGTGTTTCGCAGGTACTATTTAATGAAGCTGCCAGTTGAGGACCTGTGAGGTGTCTGTTTCTCAAACTAGACACTCTAATGTATTTGTCCTCTTGCTCAGTTGTGCACCAGGGCCGCCCACTCCTCTTTCCATTCTGGTTAGAGTCAGTTTGAGCTGTTCTGTGAAGGGAGTAGTACACAGCGTTGTACGAGATCTTCAGTTTCTTGGCAATTTCTCGCATGGAATAACCTTCATTTCTACAACAAGAATAGACTGATGAGTTTCAGAAGAAAGTTATTTGTTTCTGCTCATTTTGAGCCTGTAATCGAACCCACAATTGCTGATGCTCCAGATACTCAACTAGTCTCAAGAAGGGCAGTTTTATTGCTTCTTTAATCAGCACAACAGTTTTCAGCTGTGCTAACATAATTGCAAAAGGGTTTTCTAATTATCAATTAGCCTTTTAAAATGATAAACTTGGATTAGCAAACACAACGTGCCATTGGAACACAGGACTGATGGTTGCTGATAATGGGCCTCTGTACGCCTATGTAGATGTTCCATTAAAAATCAGCCGTTTCCATTTACAACATTAACAATGTCTACACTGTATTTCTGATCAATTTGATGTTATTTTAATGGACAAAAAAATGATTTTCTTTCGAAAACAAGGACATTTCTAAGTTTTCCCAAACTTTTGAACGGTTATAATTATATGTGAATGAATGTTTGATCTTTTGTTTTGTTTCTATTGACTGACTTATTGATTGATATAGGCTAGAGGGAAGAAATGATCGTTAGGAATGTACATTGGAATGATTTACTAATTGCTGTGTTTCCCAGGCGAGTCGCTCCAGCTCGTCGTCCCCGGTGGACAAGGGCAGTCAGCCGCGGCTCATGATGCGTCTGACACGCATGACACGCTCAGACCGCAAGAGCACCTTCCTCAAAGCCCTCAAAAAGGACATGGTGGACGAGGAGGACCTCCATCACCACTGCAAGGTGTGTGTGTCACCCAGAGAGAAACTACTTTTCCCCCTCAAGAAATGTACAGAAAAGTGTGTTTGAAGGTGTATCAAACCAAATTCACTGACATTACATTTACATTTTAGTCATTTAGCAGACGCTCTTATCCAGAGCGACTTACAGTTAGCGCATACATTATTTTATCGAACCCACAACCCTGGCGTTGCAAACGCCATGCTCTACCAACTGAGCTACATCCCCTGCCGGCCATTCCCTCCCCTACCCTGGACGACGCTGGGCCAATTGTGTGCCGCCCCATAGGTCTCCCGGTCGCGGCCGACCTACAACAGAGCCTGGATTCGAACCAGGATCTCTAGTGGCACAGCTAGCACTGCGATGCAGTGCCTTAGACCACTGCGCCACTCGGGAGTACATCACTTTGAATAGCCAGCATACAAGGAAGTAGTTGTTGGAACACTTCGTAACGCTGTCTTTCATGCCTTTACACTTTCTTGACAACAGTCGCCCACCCATCATTCTATCATTTTTAAATGGTTATTTCAATGAGAAGTTGTGTGATATGACACAGCCTTGACCTTCGCCCTCTCACCCCTCAGGATGACGATGGTTTCCATCCACAGAACAGCAATGTGGGCTGCGGGGACGAGAACCGTAACCGGTGCGAGCGAAGTGTCTCTCAGGAGAACGGCAACACGACCACACTAAGAATGAGGCAGCAGGTGCTGCGTTCCTCCACCCTCCCCCAGCAGGAGGTGCTGTCCAGCTCTTTGGAGGCAGAGCATAGGTAAACACTGGACGTTCTGACAACAGTTACACTTGGGTTAGTGCTATCTGGAATCCTTGGGACGTCCCTACCCTAAACCTTAACCCTAACCTTAATCATTTTAAATTTCAATATCAATGGGGTGACGTCAGAGTTGAACGTCCCAATGATACCGGTTAGCTCCTATTTACTGTTAGGAGTTTGTGGATCTGAAGCAACCAGATAGATGTTATTAAAGGGATAGTTCACTTAAATTACAAAATTACATTGGTTTCCTTACCCTATAAGCAGTCAATGGACAATGTATGACAGCAAGCCATTGTTTGGTTTAGTTTCCCTAGCACTGTTTCCACATGCTAAGGTTTTAACATTTGTGGCACAAACCCTGTTCAAGTCATGGGACCGATATTAGCATTACGTCCAAATCATCTGAAAGTATCTCAGATTTTGAAGCTCAGTAAATTCACTTGTTGCACACATGCATCACACATCACACATATCCGGTCCCTTCAGATCTGCAAATACTGAATTGGTTGGGGCAAGTAGGCAGGGCCTAAAATTAACACCCGCCAAGTGCGGGTAGATTTTGGCATTGGATGGTAAAATGTCTATTTCACCAGCCTCGTTGGCAGGTGGACAGGGCTCCACAGTACGAGCATTTAACTCGCATTTGTGAAGAAAAATAGTGAAGTATGATCTAATTTCTATTAAAACAACTGCTTCAGTAGCTGTTTTCAAAGTATTTCTGCCATTTTGTTTCACAGCTGGTAAATGAATCGCACAAAGTCATAGAACTATGAATCCTATAGCCTATCTCACCTCGCGCAGCAACACTGCCTGGCTGTGCGCACATGAAGTGCTGAGTGAAAGATACATTTTTAGACGCGCTGTGCACAGGCATAAGTTGGTCTAATTTACTTGAACCGAAAGTCTACTGAGACTTTGTCCTTGTTTCTTGGCTATTTAAATTGTTTTGTTCACAAGCTAGGTTGTTTTTCAATGTTTGAGTTTCAACTGTTAGGGGAGAGAAGACAACGTGGCTACTAGTTAGTCTCTCTGTCTCAGGCACCAAACATGACTCCAGTCACATTACCACGGTAACCTCCTGCCCTTAACCCTCCCGTTGTCCTAGGGTCAAAATGACCCGCCACTGTGTTGAACCAACTTTATTTAATTTTTATATTTTTGGGATCATTTGTGAGAAGGAGGCAGTGAGACTTTAAAGATAGTATCACTGCCTCCTTCTCACAAATGATCCAAAAAATATAAAAATTAAATAAAGTTCGTTCAACACAGTGGCGGGTCATTTTGACCCTAGGACAACGGGAGGGTTAAAGGGGCAGGTAAAAATGTTTCTCATCTGTTTCTCATTTTGGTTTAAAAAATAATAATTTAAATTAAACAATATACCACGTTACTTCTTACTAGTAATACATTTTATTGTTTTAGAAACATTACAAAGCATGCTTATCTGTTGTTTTTTTTTCTGTTTTGTTGGTGTAATTCTGGCAACAACAAAAACTTTTGCTTGGTCAAATATCTGAGTGGCTGGTAGATTTGTAAAATCTTCCTACCACAGTGGCTGGTAGACAAAAAAAAGTTTTAGGCCCTGCTAGTAGTGTTGTTGTGGAGGAGCAACAGAGCAAGTGGGTGTGGTGAAATGTGTTTCTCTTTTGTCTGGCTTATAATTGTAGAGGCACAATTGATAGAAATCCTAAAAGTGAATCTCATCCCTCCCCAGGTTATTGAAAGAGATGGGTTGGCAGGAGGAAAGTGAAAACGACGAGACGTGTGCCCCTCTGACAGAGGATGAGATGAAGGAGTTCCAGGCCATCAGTGAACAGGTAGTTACTCATCCACCCATTCATACTGCAGTATTCTCTACTCCCTTCATACTGCAGTATTCTCTACTCCCTTCATAGAGCGGTATTCTCTACTCCCTTTATAGAGCGGTATTCTCCACTCCCTTCATAGAGCGGTATTCTCTACTCCCGTCATAGTACTGTTCTATTACGACGCCTGTGTTCCTGAACTCCAGTCTGTCATAAAACACTCATTACTCTGTCACGTGTGACGTGCCCTTGTCAAACAAATCATTATAGTTTACAATAACCATAATTACATTTCTAGAAATTCACTGCCTTTCAAGCCTAGTTGCCTAAACTGTCACTAACACCCACACATTTACACCAACACACTCACTCACAACACACACACACACTCACACTCACCACCACACACACTCACCACTCATGTTGCTGCCGTACTGTTTACTATTATTATTATTTATCCTGCTACCAGTCACTTTCTCCTAATCCCTACCTACATGTACACATCTACCTCAATACTCCAGTATCCCTGCACATTAGAAATTGGGTATTGGCAATGACCCTGTATATAGCTTCCTCTCTTATTTCTCATGTTTTCTTTCTTTATATATACTATATACAGTACCTGTCAAAAGTTTGGACACACCTACTCATTCAAGGGTTTTTCTTTATTTTTACTATTTTTTACATTGGTAAATAATAGTGAACACATCAAAACTATGAAATAACACATATGGAATCATGTGGTAACCCAAAAAGTGTTAAACAAATTTATATTTGAGATTCTTCAAATAACCACCCTTTGCCTTAATGACAGCTTTGCACACTCTTGGCATTCTCTCAACCAGCTTCACCTGGAATGCTTTTCCAACAGTCTTGAAGGAGTTCCCACATGTGCGGAGCACTTGTTGGCTGCTTTTCCTTCACTCTGCCGTCCGACTCATCCCAAACCATCTCAATTGGGTTGAGATCGGGGGATTGTGGAGGTCAGGTCATCTGATGCATCACTCTCCTTCTTGGTAAAATAGCCCTTACACAGCCTGGAGGTGTGTTGGGTCATTGTCCTGTTGAAAAACAAATGATAGTCCCACTAAGCCCAAACCAGATGGGATGGCGTATCACTGCAGAATGCTGTGGTAGCCATTCTGGTTAAGTGTGCCTTGAATTCTAAATAAATCACAGTGGGTCACCAGCAAAGCACCCCCACACCATAACACCACCACCTCCATGCTTTACGGTGGGAACTACACATACAGAGATCATCCATTCACCCACACCGCGTCTCAAAAAGACACAGCGGTTTGAACCAAAAATCTCCAAATTGGACTCAATGTCCATTGCTCGTGTTTCTTGGCCCAAGCAGGTCTCTTCTTATTATTGGTGTCCGTTTAGTAGTGGTTTCTTTGCAGCAATTCGACCATGAAGGCCTGATTCATACAGGCCCTTCTGAACAGTTGATGTTGAGATGTGTCTGTTACTTGACCTCTGAAGCATTTATTTGGGCTTCAATTTCTGAGGCTGGTAACTCTAATGAACTTATCCTCTGCAGCAGAGGTAACTTTGGGTCTTCCATTCCTGTGGCGGTCCTCATGAGAGCCAGTTTCATCATAGAGCTTGATGGTTTTTGCGACTGCACTTGAAGAAACTTTCAAAGTTCTTGAAACTTTCCCTATATTCTGACCTTCATGTCATAAAGTAATGATAGACTGTTGTTTCTCTTTGCTTATTTGAGCTGTTCTTGCCATAAAATGGACTTGGTCTTTTAGCCCTATTGGTATCTTCTATATACCCCCCTCCCTACCTTGTCACAAAACAACTGATTGGCTCAAATGCATTAAGGAGGAAAGAAATTACACTAATTAACTTTTAAGAAGGCACACCTGTTAATTGAAATGCATTCCAGGTGACTACCTCATGAAGCTGGTTGAGAGAATGCCAAGAGTGTGCAAAGCTGTCATCAAGGCAAAGGGTGGCTATTTAAATAATCTTTGTTTAACACTTTTTTTGGTTACTACATGATTCCATATCTGTTATTTCATAGTTTCATTTTTCATTCAAAAAAAAAAAAAATATATATATATAGTTTCGATGTCTTCACTATTATTCTACAATGTAGAAAATAATAAAAATAAAGAAAAACCCTTGAATGAGTAGGTGTGTCCAAACTTTTGACTACTGTGTATGTATATATGTGTGTGTGTGTGTGTGTGTGTGTGTATGTATATATATATATATATATATACACACACACACACACACACACACATCTCAATTATAGTTAAATTTTTTATTAGTTATACTATTTTGATATCGATTGCTGCACTGTAATTGTGCATGTGACAATAACTTGAACTTAATTTGTTCATATTTGTTCTCACTCCAGCTCTCTGTAGGCTTTTTGACAGCCATTTCCAAGTTAATTGCTTCTGAAATCAGTCCCTCACCCCGCCCAATTGTCTTCTTCCCTCTCCAGCTGCAGAAGAACGGTCTGAGGAGAAACAGCTTCCTGAAGAATGGCCCTCCCATCGACTCCCTGGCCGTGTGGAAGACCAGCAACCTCAAAATGGCCACCGACACCACGGAGGAGACGGAGACCAGCAGCAGCGACACCTCGGACGACGATGCCTAAAGCAGCCTTCATCAATAACCCACTTCACTACTAGCACACCTAACCCTCTCTCACGAGAGGAAAGAGACATTCCCCCCCTGCAGCAGAGTTCAGACGTCCTCCCACCATTTCACAGGCCCCCTTCAAGACATGGACAGATGTTCCGAATGGACTTGAGAAAGAACACTGCTTTATGGCTTTGTAGCAAGGCCCCTATTTGTTGGGGCCGGGGGGGTGGAGATTTCAATGTTGGACTCAATGTTTGTTCCATCACTGAAAAGATTGATAATACGTACCGTATGATGAATGTGAAAAAAAGGTCCGTTCTGGAGGCTATTGAATAAAATGATTGCAATTCAGTGTATTTGTCTGATGGAGGTTGTTCAGGTACATGTCATACACCTGTCCTGAGTGTCAAAATACTTGTCTGTAGGTAACCCTGAAATTGGAAGTAAAAAGGGTGACATGAGCAAAGATGATAAATGACGGGAGAACCTCCCCTATTTGACACCACATCTTTTTATTTTCAACCACATCCGTATTGAACCAAACTATTGACAGCTATTTTCATATGTTTGGTTAAATGACTAGCTCAACCAACCCAGCATGATCTTCACTCTTACGCCTCATACACAATTGAATTGTATAGTCCTTTATGTTACGCTGGAAGTGGATTATTTCAATGGTACACATGACGCACCGGAGCTGCATCGGGTGCTGCATGCATAGAATTTTTACTAACTTTGAGTCGTCTACAGTCCGACCAGAGTCTGAAAATAGAACAGGAAGTTACCAAACCAGAGAATATATTTTTTATAAGCCCTTTACTGATGTTGGTTGCCAGGAAGAGGTCAGGAAGCGTAGCTCTGCATCAGTACTTATAGATCATGTTAACCACAGACCTCACATCCTTCTGTTTCACACGGACAGTAAAGTTCCCTACTAAACCGCTCTCTTCACTGTAAGTACACTTGATAATACCTTCTATACCAGGGTTCCCCAACTGGCTGCCTACAGGCCGACGCGGCTGATTTTATGTGTCCCCCCAAGTTTTCTGAGCGTTTAATTTTATTTTCTTGTTGGACATAAAAAACTAAAAACACCAGCAAACCAGCTCCAAGTGATTTTAATTTTGGAAATCTGTTACAGTCTTCCGACCCATAATAGAGCTATATTTGATCCTATACAAATGTAAGCAAGGTTTAAAATTATTGTTTTAGTCAAATAATATCTGTTTGTGCTACTTGCGGTGAATTTGCAGTCTACAAATTATTTATAATTAGTTTCCGGCCACTCAAGAAAAGAATATCGGCCCGTGGCTGAATCTAGTTGATGATCCCTGTTCTGTACCGTATGATTCTTTCTTGGTGATTTGTTCTGCAGAATGAATGTTTGCATGTGAATCTTATTGTAATACGTTTTGCGTTTTCGTACTTATGTTCTAGTAAGTAGTAAGACATGTAAGCGTAACAATACCGACTTCGGATGCGTTCCAGGCCGACTACATTGCAGACGTTCCATTGCGTCAATGGTCGTTTGAGATGTAGCCAGTATGTAATGTGCCCACGGTCTTATTTTCCCTCAGATGGTTACTGGCTTCAAAAGTGGCAACGTCAACCTGTCAATAGGCAAACAGGAGGCAGCACACTATATTTGTTGGCACACCTCTGAGATATGAGATTAGTGAGTTGTTCCAACCAGATCTGCTTCAGATATTAATCAGACCAGGTGACTATGCCTGTACCCAGCTTCGCACTCGTGGTTGGACTTCTAACGTTTGGTCTGATTGATGTCCAGGGAAGTCGCATAAGTGAATACGGATGATCTTTGGATGTGTGAGCTCAGCTGCATTTCAATGCTTGTTCGTGTAAGAGCGAAGTGGAATGAGTCATTGAACGTTACAGATTTGTTTGGTTTCTATAGAAAAAGGACCTTGCTGAACTCAATATAAGAGGTGTTTTTTCTATAACTATGTAACATTTCAGTCTATAAAACAACGTTTGAACAAGCCTCAGATTTGTGGGGAATGTGTGTGACAGAAATGTTGCACGTTGATGTGTGTGTGCCCATATTGACTGGAATTAATGGAATTACAAATTTGAGAAGCATTGCAACTTTATCTAAAAGCTGTTTTTATCTGTTTGAATGTTAAAGTCAACTCAGCCTCATAATAGGATGCATCATCCAGATACCAGTTTTTCAGGTTCAGGCCTCTTAAAGAAATATATATATAAATTATTTTTTGTGCAAATTTTTCTTACTTTTTAACTCAACATATTTAGGTGGAATGGCACATAGCTGACACTTAGCTGAGCATCTTATACACTGATTAGGAACACCTGCTTTTTCCATGACAGACTAGCCAGGTGAAAGCTATGATCCCTTATTGATGTCACCTGTTAAATCCACTTAAATCATTGCAGATGAAGGGGAGGATACAGGTTAAAGAAGGATTTTCAAGCCTTGAGACATGGAGTGTGTGTGTGCGTGCGTGCGTGCGTGCGTGCGTGCGTGCGTGCGTGCGTGCGTGCGTGCGTGCGTGCGTGCGTGCGTGCGTGCGTGCGTGCGTGCGTGCGTGCGTGCGTGCCGTTCACAGGGTGAATGGGCAAGACAAAATATTTAAGTGCCTTTGAACGGGGTATGGTAGTCGGTGCCATGCGCACCAGTTTGTGTCAAGAACTGCAACGCTGCTGTGTTTTTCACGCTCAACTGTTTCCCGTGTGTATCAAGAATGGTCCACCACCCAAAGGACATCCAGCCAACTTGACACAACTGTGGAAAGCATTGGAGTCAACATGGGACAGCATCCCTGTGGAACGCTTTCAACACCTTGTAGAGTCATGCCCGATAGTTTGAGGCTGTTCTCGGGGCAAAAGGGGATGCAACTCAATATTAGGAAGGTGTTCCTAATGTTTTGTACACTCAGTGTACATTAACATATAATTATCTAAATTATATATGCTGATTAATATTCTAATTTATTTTCCCACGGTTCCATTGAATCCTTTGTGCATCATCGTATTGTTTATATTTCTCTCTACTGCTCTTTTGTGATTGATCAAGTCACTCTGAAAGAGGAGGTGACATATGGCCCTGACGTCATGGTCACATGGGACGGTGGTGGTGGCTTGATTACCTTGTGTGCACTGCTCGTGGCTGTGGAGGGGGCACAGGAGGTGAACATCTTTCTTCTGCCAAGGTGAAGGTTCAAAGAGCACTTGATCAGCAGTAGATGATTAAACAATTGTGAATCTCTGCTGCATTTGTTTTTCTATGTGCTTTAACCACAGTTTCTGATCAAGTTTATAGAGCCCTTTTCACATCAGTAGTTCTCACAAAGTGCTTTGAAAGTCTTTAATCTGCATAATCAATTGACATGTTTACGATTTAGGGAGGTTAGGGACAGCAACTATAGGGTTACAAATGCATTAGTACTGTTTTGTGTTTTGAACTTTAGGGTTATGTATAAAATGTATTTCTATGTTCCCCTCTTACCAATTCGATTAACCATTTGATAAGTAATGTTAACATTTCAAAATGTTTGCCTGTGATTGTAATCAAATGAAAATGATATTACTTGTTGTTTATTCTCAGCTCAGGCTCCTTCCTTTTTCTAAACCTTACTGAGGAGGTTACCCACTCATTCCAATGTACCTGCTTTGACCAATCAGAGGGAGTTTATAAGTCACAGAGCATCAGTGTTGTAGCTGGTGAGTGACCTTGTAATGAGAATCAATCTACACTAGACGGGGATACTCAGTACTTTTATTGCTCTAATTATATTCTAAGTACTGTCAGCACTTTTTCAACCTGTTTGGTTATTATAGCGCAATATAATGATCTATCACTCAATTTGGACAGTGTTTGCTTTGCAGTAACTTCTAAGGCCAATGGTTTGGGGATGTGTCGTGTGTGTGTGTGTGTGTGTCCAGTCGTCCCCTACTACCATTTGACATGTTGTCCTTCAGGTTCACCTTCTACCACTCCACCACCAACCAGGTGACCATGCTGGACAGCCATGCAAGTCAGAACAACACATAAGCTTACAGTAACTCTCTGGATGCTAGACAATCAAATTACAAGAATAAGGATCTGAATTAGGGTTTTATTGAGGGTAGCCGTTGATTATATCATCCATGACCGGGACATGTTCATACTGAATTGATTTCTCTATGCCACTAGAGGGCACAATATGACTTTTTTTTCTCAGTCCAATAACAAGCTGAGGGTTACTTTAGATATGCCTGCACCGTCTATAAAGTATTGAGAGGATATGAGTTTACCAGCAAGCTTACTGTTAACAACATGACAACCGTATAAAAAAATAAATTGTTTTCATTTAAGAATGAGTTGATTTAATGTTTAGGTGGACAGACAGCACCATGATGCCACAGCATGCATGACTTTATGTTCTGGTAATCTGTCATCCCTAGAGGGAGTATAGTTTTGATACATTTACATTTTTAGTCATTTAGCAGACGCTCGATAAGAGCGACTTACAGGAGCAATTAGGGTTAAGTGCCTTGCTCAAGGGCACATCGACAGATTTTTCACCCAGGCGGCTCGGGGATTAGAACCAGCGACCTTTCAGTTACTGGCACAACGCTCTTAACCACTAAGCTACCTGCCGCCCCTACTGTTGCTAGCGGAACTTTATCTCTTTTGTAAACTTGGCAAACACAGGTGGTCTATTTCCATGTTTCCCCACACTAGTTGTGCCATATTGAATTCCCAGAATGTATCTTATGACTTGTGTTGTACATATGTGATGTGCGTCATTTTGTTTATAACCTCTCTCATGAAATCAAAACAGTGGGATTTTATTGATATATTCACTTTTGCCTGGAAAAGTAGCCTTGTCTAAACCGCTGGAGGCCCATCTTTGTACTGGCGGACCGGGAGCGTGACGAGGCTCGGTTAACTCACTGACTGCATCACAACAGTAAACAGGAAAGGGAAACTCCAAGACTCAGATCTGATCGGAAAAAGCTTAACCCCCTTAGGACACTTCTGTGTCAGAAGTACTCTTTGCGCCTCGATTTAGTCCTCTCCAAGTCTTCAAGAAATCCAGTAATGTCAATTAACCTACTGTAATGTGATAATGCCTTCTATAAGAAGACCAATAATTCATTTATGTATTGATTTTCCTGACAATTTTCCAACCAACACACACCTTTATAGTCAGTGTATTAAGTTTTATTGAAAGTTATACCGGTTTGACATAATAATATTGTGTTAACTCTCAAACCTTGATCTGTCACAATGCATTACGTTATGCATCATGAAAACCCTCTGGACCATTCTGTAAGAACAAATCTTACTTGAAGTTACTGAAGACATCACCTTATTGGAAACTGCAC